GAGCTGATGGATAACCTCATTTTTAAAGGTTAAAAATTAATTATTAATTCTTTAAATTATTTTTTTCTTGTCATTTTCTTTGTGTATTTGTGGTTTTCTTTCTTTCTTTCTTTTTTTATTTATGCCAGCCAATAGTTTTCCAATTTTGTTGATTTTTCAATCTACCGGTTTTGATATATTCGCGAAACACTCTTTTTCAACTCATTACATTCCTGCTTTGACCTCCGTTATTTCCTTCCTTCTGCTTCCTTTTGTTTACTTTGTTAGTCCTTTGCTAGTTCTTTATCTAGATGTTTAATTGATTTACTTTCACTTTTATGGTTTCTGATATTTAATGTTAGGTATTTTTCTAGATCCCGTCGTAGCAGAATCATATACTTGCTGTTATGTTCATATCATTACTTTCTAGAAATTGTACAACTTTGGAATATCTTGCGTCCTGCAAGGATGTAGCTTAATATATGTGTTTAAAAGATAAGACACTTAACAGTCCGTTAAGTGTCTGGCTCTTGGTTTCAGCTCAGGTCGTGATCTCATGGTTAGGGCGACTGAGCCCTGTGTTGTGCTCTGTGCTGACAGTGTGGAGCCTGCTTGTGATTCTCTCTCTTCCTCTCTCTCTCTGCCCCTCCTCTGCTCTCTCTCAAATTGAATAAACATATATATATATATATGTTTAATTTCAGGAGGGAGGGGCTTTCTATGGATTGGATGTTAGTGTGAATTTCTAGTTTGTTTGCTCTATGATCAGAGAATGCTGTTTATATTGTTCATATTTTGGGGATTTTTTTGATGTTTTCTTTGTGACTCTTCTATGTGCAAATCTGTAAAACTGTTTTTTTAAACAAAACATTTACAGATGAAGCAAAATGATGTCTGGGAATTTCTTTAAAAGACTTCAATTAGAGGGGCGCCTGGGTGGCTCAGTCAGTTGAGGTCATGATCTTGAGGTTCATTTATTCGAGCCCCACATCAGGCCCTGTGCTGTCAGAGCAGAGAAAGACAGGACCAGAACTCAGCTGGAGGGAGGGGAAGTGTAAAGGAACGACCATCATGTGGCACTTTGGCCGCTGTGGGGCCCGAAGAGGGGGTCTGGGACTCCCAACTCTTATTCCTGGGATGGCAGCGGTGGGGACGTCTACACACTCAGCTCCACATGTTCTACCAGAGCCTTCCAGAGACACTTCTCTTCCTCCTTGCCATTTTTGCACACAGGCTTTGTCGCTTTTCTATTTGGTACAACTTCTTGGCCCTTTGGAGGGACACATGACTGGTCAGAAGCCTCCCACAACAGGAGAAACATGCCCCTCCCCCACCCCCCACGTGGAGCCGTGCTCCGTGGCACAGATTGTCTGAGGCTGCTTGTCCTTTAAAAACAGTTGGATGACTGGACGCCTGGGTGACTTAGTCGGTTAAGTGTCAGATTCTTGATTTCAGCTCAGATTATGAGCTTAGTTCGTGGATGGAGTCCTGTGTTGGGCTCTGTGCTGACAGCATGGAGACTGCATGGGATTCTCTCTCCCTCTCTTCATCCCTCCCCTGCTTTCTCTCTCTCTCTCTCAAAATAAAGAAATAAACTTAAACAAGAAAGTTCGATGATCTTTTAGGGTGTGCTCTGTGTGAGAACAGAACGTCCTGGACTCCGCTAACGATTCTGCTCCTGAAATGAAATTCTGATAGTGTGACTGCTCCCCCAGTCGAGAAAACTTCGAAACTTACATACGTTCACTGAGAGATTCTGCAGGCCCCAAATTGGGCTGTGACAATAGCCCGTACAGTGCGCTCCGTTCGGCCCAGGGTGACCCCAACCCCCACCTGCACTAGAAGGTCCCACATTCAGCCAAAGCGTGTGGAAGCAGGAGCCTCTCTCAGGCAAAGCCAGGCCCTGGCAGGTGCTAGAACCTTGTCACTGACCGTGGGGCATGGCCTTGTGAAGAATTAGCACCCCGCCCCCTGACTCTAGCCCTATCTCTCCCTTTATCCATAAGGGACAAGGGAAAGCAGCCCTTGCATGAAGAGAGGAGGCACTGTCCCTTTGCCCCCTCCTCATTGATATTGGCCTTGCCGTCTTCAGAAGACGTCAAAAGCCTTGCTTCTGGGGGCACCTGGGTGGCTCAGTTGGTTAAGCGTCCGACTTCGGCTCAGGTCATGATCTCACAGTTTGTGGGTTCGAGCCCTGCGTCGGGCTCTGTGCTGATAGCTCAGAGCCTGGAGCCTGTCTTCAGATTCTGTGTCTCCCTCTCTCTCTGACCCTCCCCTGCTCATGCTGCCTCTGTCTCTCTCTCTCTCTCTCTCTCGGAAATAAATAAAAACATTAAAATTTAAAAAAAGAGAAAAAAGCCTTCCTTCTCGGGGGAAGAATTGAAATCTCAAATAGGGCCCCAGCCTCCAGAGCGCCAAGCCCATTCCGGGAGATGACATTCAAACAGCAGAGACTGGCAGCCCTGACTGGGGCAGCCTGAAAGGGCTGACGTGCGGGGCTAACTGGTCAGTGGGGACGGAAGCCATTTTTCAGCCTTCGCGGGGCTGGGGACGTTAGGCGAAAATTTGCAGTTGTGTTATGCACACGATGCTTCAGCTGAGAAAATATTATAAATATTTAAATATATAATTTAAAAACATCTATTTGTGTATTGCTTTTGGAACTCTGGTATATGAGACACATTTGAATTTCGGCTCCTGAGTGAAATTTACAGTTTTACAGCTTCAGTTAGGCTTTCAAAAGCCAAACCATCTTCGTTAATAGTGACATTTCTTTTCTACCTGTGTTCACCGATTTGGGGATTCCTATAGCATGCGGCTATTAAAATCCCATATTCAATAAGGGAAATCATATTTCTACCCCCAGGCAAAATCACGAGCTATCTTGCTCAAAAACTCTTTCATCAATTAAATGTAAATTACCTTGAGAAATGCCAAGAGCTTTCCGGCGCCGGAAACTTGCCAGAGAAGGTGGACATCTGCTCCTGTGAGCTGAGTCCATTTTGTGAAGGTCTAGTAGTTAAACTCAAAGCGGCTCTCAGTTTTGGGGGTTTGCTTTGCATATCAATGCCCTTGATTGTTTTATCCTCATCTCCTTTTACTTTACAATGTAAGCGATTTAGTCATACCATAGGATTCTGATCCAAAAACTGGGGTGCATTTTGTGTTTTGCAAATTTATCACGAAAACCCATTCGGGCACAATGCAAATGGGATCACAAGAAATGAGAACCCACAAGAATAATGCCGCTATTGTGTCTGTCTACTGTGTTCAGGGGGTGGGGTGGGAGGGGGAGGGGCAGCGGACGGTGTGGGGACAGGGAGGCCCGTGGACATTTACTGCGCCGCGGTCCGGTCACCCATGTCACACACACATGGCTCCACCTTATTCCAAAATGATGTTGTAGATGGAGGGGCAGAGGGAGGGGCTCCTGCATGTCGTCCAGTCCATCAGTCACACGCTGGTGGCGCCTGAGACACCCGGAGCACGACGGCCTCTCAATGAGCCATGGAAAAAGAAGAAATGGTGTTAGGTACCGTGGGCTGCCGTGCCAGGGGCACTCGTGGGGGGCTTAAGGGGAAAACCAGGGACACGGCTGCGGTCACGTGGACACCCAACACAGCCGGCTGCGGGATCAGGGATTTAGGGGACAAAGCTCGTATGGGTGGTTTGGCGCTTTCACAGTTTGCGTTTCAGGATGATCCCACCTCGTGGCTGAAACAGCAAGACTGACTGATTTTCCTGGTCTGAATGTATAGATTCAATCTATTCAGACCAACGGTAGCCCAGGGCTCGGTGTGTGTGAACCCTGTTGTCGGCTGACCTCGGACTCCAGGCTGGCGTGTCCCCGGATCCGCGGGGCAGTCTGTCTCCCAGCCCGGACACAACCCAGACTCTTTCTTTCATCGCTTGGGGGGCCGGGGTTTTCAGAGCTGCGTCGGGCTTCCGTTTTGGCTACGGCACCTCGAGGGCAGACTTGGGCATCATCTCCCTTCAGCGGCTGGTGGGCCGGAGCCGTCTGGGGGCCCGTTGTCCCACAGCCGTTTGGCTGAGACCCCTGCAGGGGCCATCTGCCCCCCTATGGAGGCCCGTGGGGGCGGGGGCCCTGCACCGGCCTAAGGTCGGGTGTACCTGGGGACTCACCAGCAGTTCACACAGGCTCTGGGGTGAGCAGGTGGGTTTTTAGAGGCCACATCCTGGGCAAACGATCCTCTCTGGGCTTTAGTTTCCTTATTTGTGAAATGACAAGAGCCCTCGTTTCTCCGAACCTGGCTGTTGTGAAGGATCCACAAGAAAATACGCGTAAAGCACTTGGCGTAACCAGCTGGGAAACCGTCCGGTACAAATGCCGGCTGCCATGACCAGGGCCACTCGCGTCGAACTTTTGCAGGGAGTCCCGAGTCTTTCTCCTCGAACTCGGGCCCGTAAGGGTTTTCTGCAACACGAGGTCACGACTCCAGGGATCTCGCGGCGGGGAGAGCAGGGGTGGGGGTGGGGGGTGAGGGGGGGTGGGTTCTGAGGCTTCCTAAGAGAATTCCTAAGGCTCAAGGCCACTGTGCTCAAAGCATGTGGCCGTTCATTTCAAGCTTGACGGCACATTCTTCGCAGAACGGTTGCCAAGGAACGAGGTAATCCTGTGACAGGCCGCCTGCCCGCGCGTCCGGCTTGCTGGCCCAAAGGGCTGTCGGTGGTGTCAGATTTTATTACTAGCCTTCCTGGTCTCCACGGAAGAGCTGTGTGAGATCACACGCGTGTAAAAGGACGAATCTAAGGGCCCAGATTAGCACCCCACAGAAAATAGGCTCTTTGTTTCCTTTCCATACTGATCCAAAGAGGGGTAAAAAAAAAAGTAACAGCAAGATCATCACGTACCTTGTGCCTTTAGGCTGGTCTGTAACCTTCCATCTGGTCAGGTGACTTGCCCGAACACGGATACCTCAGTGAGTCCCTGTGGCCCCTTGGCTCCGCCCTCACTAGCATGTGACCCAGGTCACCATTTCAGACCACCAGCCTCCTCAGTGGGTGATGTGCAGCGAATTAACCCACATCAACATGGTGGGCACACAGCAGGCACCAGTGACCGCCAGCCCCCCTTCCCTTATAGACGGCTGTGAAGGCGCTGCCTCTGTCCGAACAGAGAAGCCTGGGGGTTGTGAGGCAGAGACTGTACTTTTTACGTGAGTATTCAATATAGGAGTGTAGCATGATGTAGTAATCTAGTCATTTCTTTCTGGTTTTTTTTAAAGTTTATTTTGAGAGACAGAGGGAGAGACTGTGCCTGCATTTGGGGGAGGGACACAGAGAGAGGAAGAGAGAGAGAATCCCAAGCTGGCTCCACATTGTCAGTGCAAAGCCTGATGCGGGACTTGATCTCATAAACCATGAGACCATGGCCTGAGCCCAAATCAAGAGTTGGAAGCTTAACCAACTGAGCCACCCGGGGGGCCCCAATCTAGTGATTTTTTTAATGTTTATTTAGTGATTTCTATACCAAAAAGTGAGCGACCCTTTGGTGAATAACTTCAGATTATATGAAGCTATAGAGTAACTATCATGGCCACATAACACATTTATATTCCATTGAATCAAGAATTCCTAATGATACAGAAATAGCTCTTTTTAAAAAAATTTTTTTTAACATTCATTTATTTTTGAGAGATTGAGACAGAGCACAAGCAGGGGAGGAAAAGAGAGAGAAGGAGACACAGAATCTGACACAGACTCCAGGCTCTCAGCTGTCAGCACAGAGCCTGACGCGGGACAGGGGGCTCCAACTCACAGACCATGAGATCATGACCTGAGCCAAAGTTGAACGCTTAACCGACTGAGCCACCCAGGCGCCTCTAGAAATAATAGTTCTTAAAAAGATCTACTGTGATCGTGTGCCTTGATAACATTTTTTGCAAGTCCAGCATGGATGTAATTTGCATAAACTGTACACTGTCAAAGGCAGGATGCTCCTCAAATAAAATCATAGGATCTTACTGCAAACTTCACATCATGCAAGTATAAAAACTCTTCATGGAGACACTTAAAGTCATAACCAAAGTAGAAAAGAAAACAGATGCAGATTTGCCTTTACAAACTTTGACCATCAGCCGCAAGAGTAAGGTGCAGTCAAGATGTGAGGCTGGCTACAACCCGTTCTAGGAAACCCCCGCTTTGGGAAGAGCAGGAATCTCGGTAGCCACTTAGCGGCAGCCGCTGGAGGAAACCTGGGGACGGTGGGGAAGGGAGGCAGAACGTTCTTGGCTCAAAGTCCTTCCTGCTCCTGAGGGGGGTAGTCTCTGCCTAGGGCCCAAGTCCTCCCTTCTAGGTGGGGGCCAGAGTCTTGGCAGATCTTGCCACCATGTGCCCATTTTTACTGGTCTGAACCTGGTGAGCCGCAGAGGGGGAATTGGCTGGGCCGCCCTCCCCCCACCCCAGGGAAGGCTGCCGCTCGGCAGGCAGAAAGCACGCCTACCCCGCCCTTGGCTTCCACAGCTCCTTCTTCGTGGCTGCGGGGCAGGCAGAGCAGCGGTGGGCACAGGGGGGCCAGGGCAGGGCAAGTCCCTGTCATGCTCGTCCCCAGGGCCAGCACGCTGCACCTCCTCCAATGGCGGGAACAGAGTTCTACAGACCAAAAGCCATGCAGGACAAGATTTCCAGGCTATTCGGGCCGCTCCGTCTGGGAGATGAACTTGAGCTCAAATGCCAGGGTCTGCACAGATGATGGGGTTGGGGGTTAAAAACTGGTCAGGATGGTGGGTGGTCAGTGAGCCAGAGCCCATCATCAGCCTCCGTGGAAGCCTAGGCTCGGAGGGCTGCAGGCTGAGCCCACAGGGGAGAACCGTCTGTAACCAGGGTCTGAGATCGTTTTCCGGAACAGCCCAGAAGTTACAGAAGAACCAGTTTAGTCTCCAGGTCAGACGGGCTTGCTAGCCAGCTTCCATCACGGAATAACCCTTACACCTAGACGGCAAGGCCGGGCAGGCGCAGCCGGGAGGCAGACTGTACCTGGGAGCAGGGCGATGCCAGAAAAGTGAGGCGTCAGGCGGGCAGGATTACAGAAGGCGGCGGAAGGATCCAGCAGGTCCGCCAGGGGGCGGTGAGCGTCGGGCGGCCCCTAGCGGCCACTGCCGGCCACGCAGCTCGGCAGCCACCTGACTGGCAGGGAGAAGACACCTCCATTTGCTCAAAACAGCAGTGGTTGTGAGAATATAAAACAAAGAGACCCAGAAGAAAACAACGTCTGTAATTACATTTAGTATTTAGTAAAAAAATCCAAACTCCAGATACTAAGTAGTTGTTTTGAAATAAAAATAACAGGCTGATTCTTTGGAGGATGTATTTATTAAATTCTAAGACCTTAAATAATTTTTGTTTGAAACATTCAAACGGAAAGAAAAACTAGGAAATCTGGAAATTCAACATCTTCCAGAGGGTTGGGGACACCCTGTTATTATTATCATTGTTATTATTTCAATGTGTTTTTATTTTGCTTGCATGAAAGGTGAGCCAGTATTTCCAACAGCATCACCAGCTGGTGAACTTCATCTTGGCCTCCACTTGATGTCTTTTACCCCATGGAAATGTCTTTTCAAAGCAGTGTTATCTGCCCATGGAGAATTTAAACAGGAGTCATCATCATTTTCTTCCAATTTCTGGAAATAAATACGTTTTACACAGGAAGGCATTTCAGGAAGGTGTTTTGCAACGTGAACAGGCTAAAGAAAGCACTCACGTCCAAACTCCCACTCCCATCTACCCAGAAGGATGCTTCCAGACCCTAATGCAGGTGGGATGCCTGACGGGGCCCTGGAGAGGCGGAGCTCTAGAAGCGCCCCCTCCCTACACCCTGCAGAATTCCTCTCCCAACCCCCCCAGGCACAAGGCAAGGGAGGGGGGGATGCCCCTGGGCCTGCTCTGCTGAGAACCTATCAGCCTGGTACCTTGAGCTCCTCCTGTCTTCGGTGGTAATACAGCATCAGCTGCTTCTGCTCCTCGCTGCTGATAATCGGTTCTCGGGCTGGGGCTCCCTGTCCCCTCTGAGAAGACAAGGGCAGAGCAGACTGATTACAGCACTCCTACAGCGCAACCCCAGAGGTTGCAGTGAATGTTCTACAATCTTCCTTGCTGACTGCTAAGGATAAACAGGTGATCCATTCTGATCCGCAGGGAAGGCTTGGTCTCCAGCAGCCCCTCAACCCTGGGCCCTCAGACCGATGGAGACCAGAGGCCAGGCAATGCCATCAACCCCCTGGGGTCCAGCGGAGAAGGGATGGCGACCATCATGGCAGACGCTGTTTCCCCACAATCATGGAGAAATGATTTAGGACAACGCAGCCTTGCAGAGATGTGGCGCTATGCTACTTAGATCTGTAAAGGCTTCTAGCACAGTCTCTGTGTTTACAGAGTATCAGTACGTTGAAAACTTGAAATCAGTGCTCTAGGCTGTATTTTTCATTTTGAGAAACACTTTTCATTACTTGTAGCCCTGTTTCTAAAGTTGAAATTAGCATGGCATGCGTACCCACCCAGCCACCCATGAAAACAAACTCCAAAACAGACTTCTAGTTTTCGATGTTTTACTTTAGAGCCCCCACTAACGGGATTAAAGTATTTGCCACAAGGAGATTAAGTAACGCTTGCTCTAAATTTTTATCGGTTGGAAAACACTTAACAAAAAATGGTGTCATGTTAAAGCAAAAGTACTCACTTGCTGAATCTTGACGATAATTTTGGTTTTCTCATTCTTGCCCACGTAGTCGGAAAGCTTCTTTGTTCTTCTGAGCTCCTTGGCCGCCCACCACAGCTGGGCCTCTGATTCCTCAATAACATTCAGTCCTGCCTGGGGCCATGGTCAGAACAGGCTGTACGGGGACTGAGACATCGCCCAGGGGCGCGGGGCCTGGCTGGTTCCCCCCCACCCCCAGTGCGGGGCAGGGGCCGGCATCTCAGCCCCGCCCTGTCCTCCCCTCTCCCCATGGGAAACACCACCAGCACTGGGTCAAAGCCCTTGCTCCTATGGGTGCCCTTCCTGCTAGCTCCAGCTCGTGCCCTGCCTTCGTGCCCTCCTGGTTCTGGGAAGGGGGAGGGTCCTGTCTCAGGTGCACCCTTATCTATAATAACGGGTCCTTCTCAGAAGGGTTTTGAGGATATGCTGGGAATGAGCACTGGGATCCAGCAGGGTTTTTAAATGTGGGCCTAATGGGGCTGTTTGTCTGCTTCTGCGCAGCCCGCCTGTTTAAGACGGCTCGGAGCCACAGGCCCTGTCCAATAGGGTACGTGATACATGAGAAAAACAAAGGAAAAGGGAACATAAAGGAAGGAAAATAACATGAAGCAAAAGGTGAGGCTAGAACACAAAATTCCATGCAAAGGGACCGATGAATGCACTTTGGGTAGAAACAGGCCAAGTTGGGTTTCTGGCTTCCCAGTGGCCAGAGAGAACGGGAGGGTTTTCAGTTTCTGCTGACGGACTTCCTGCCTGCCCCTCTGTGAGTGCCCTGGACCACGAGCACTAGCTTCGGGCTCTCCCCTAAGTTCAGGGCTCTGCTCGCAGTCACAGCACCGCAGGATGGAAGGCTGCGTAAGAAGCAAAACACGGCACCCGGAAGAGGAGGGCCAGCTCCGCAGGGAACCCCCCCACAGGATGCCCGAGAGCCACACACCTGAGTCCCAGACAAGTCTTCTTTATTTTCAAATTCCATCCGGATGGGATCGTATGGCGGCAGCCCCATGGGATAGACGATCATCGTTGCACCTCGAAGCTGGTCCAAGGCGTCTTTCACCATCTCCAGGGTAACACAGACTCCAGCTTCCACTTGTTTCTGAAGGGACAGGGACGGGAATCATAACCGCTTCAGTCAGTATTGACCAAGTTCTTGTACAAGACCCCCGCCGGCAACTGCCAGAGGGCACAACGCACTCCAACCGCGCTTGCTACCGAAGCCACCGCCATACTTCTGGGGCTTCTGCTGCTCCCCCGCGGCCTAGACCACCAAGCGGACTATGAGCAGGGCTGACAGGGCAGTCAGGTGCGGAGGACAGGACACTCGGCGGCACAGACCGAGGGGATCGGGCCACACCTCGGGGGAAGGTGGCGCAGGCAGGTGAGCGGCGGGAACAGGTGCTCCAGGCCCAGCAGCAGCAAGGAGCCGCAGGTAAGTGCAGCCAGTGCCACAGGGGACGCTGGGGCTCACACGGGAGGGCCCGGGGGCCAGGCGGCAGGGTGTGCGCTCCGCACAGGCGGCAACGTCCCTCCTGGGCAGGAGGGATGGTGTGGAGCCTGACCTTGCAGCAGGTGAAGAACGCTCCGGGCTGGGGGACAGCAGGCAGCAGGCTCAGAAGGGCACAGAAGGAGGTGTGATACAGGGGACACATCTGGTCTGTCCCCCGCTCCTGGCACCCAGCTTCGAAATTCCCAATTCCCGACTGGTAGGAACGTCTGTTGTTATTCATAAGGAGCCTCTGGACGGCACCAGAGTTTATGCTAATGAGGTGACCCACAAGGGACCTCAGTTCCGGGGAGAGGCTGCCATGGAAGAGGGAGCGGAAATTAGAGGGTTGAAACTTTCAGACCCAACCCCCATCACAGCCCAGGGGAAGGCGGGGAGGGAAAGGAAGGGGGGCTGGAGGAGTCAAGTCATGTGGCCAAGGATTTGGTCACTTAATGAAAGCCCTATAGAAATTCCGGGGATCAAAGCTCAGTGGAGCCTCCGGATCGGAGAACACACGAGGTGGGAGCCTGGAATCCCAGGAGGGCTCCACATGCTCCGCGCCCCGCGCCCCAGGCCTTGCCCTACACCTCTTCCCTCTGGCGCGGAGGTGTGTCCTTTACAACAAAACTATCTAGGAAGTCTAGCACTTGCAGTGTGCTCTGTGGATTGTTCCAGCAAACTGCTGAACCAGGAGGGGGGCTGTGGGGACCTCCAAATTTACAGCCAGGACAGAAGCAGTCTGGGTGCCTGGCGTCAGGTGTGGGGTCTTGCTGGGGACCTTGCCCTTTCCCTTGCGGGCTCTGCACCAACACTGGGGAGTTAGTGTCAAACCTGAACTCAGGCCACCCAGTCGGTGTCTGAAAGGCACCAGGAGGCTACCAGGGAGCCTTCGATAAAGCGGTTGCTACGGCAACGGAAGGCGCTGGGGTGTCGGCATCATGGGACAGACAGTACAGGATGCGTACAGGACCCGAGGTAAGGCTCACGGGGGTGGGGGTGGGGCAGAAGGCAGGACTCCAGTCTGGGTCATCGAGGCCCCAGTGGCTCTGCCAACACAAGTGGCAAGTCTGCGGGAAGTGCTACCCCTTGGGTCCAGAATACAGGGAGGAGCGAGGAGAGAGGAATGGGCTCTCGGGTCTAGGAAACTGCAGTTTTCTCGCGGTGCAGATAGGAGGTAAAACACTGGGGGGCGGGGGGGGAGGAGAGAGGAGGGGACCCAGGACAAAGTACTTGGATAAACACTCAATGTAAGAGGCAAGGGCAAGAGAAAGGGCCCCCCAGGAGCTGGGAGGGGACAGGACAGGCGGGTCCTTGACGTGCTCAGAGGACAGAGGCAGACAGAAAAGCCTCCGACCTGCGAGGTGAAGGGGTGGCCCCGGGATGGCCGTCTCTGTGGGGGAAGGAAACAGAGGCCGGGTCCTGAGAAAGCCGGGAGGGCCCGGGCCAGGCATGTGGCGGTCCCTCTGCTCCGGGAAGCTTGCTGGGAGGACACGGGGGGTGGGGGAGGCTGCAGAGAAGGGATTTCGGGGGAAGGAAAGAGGCCTGAGTGCGTTCACAGGGTACACGCAGCCCACAGGACAGGAGGGAGGAAAACGTTACCCCCGTCCCGGTTTCCAGGCCAGCAGCAGAAATGGGAGAAGCCCGGGGCGGGCCGGGGGTGGGGGGGACACGGATCAGGCGGAGTCTCAGGGGAAGGAGGAGCAGAGGCCCTGCAGCAGGGGCAGAGAACTGAGGGCTCCTGCCAGACAGCCTTGCCCTCTGTGCCAAGCAGGGAGGGGGCAGGCAGGGCAGGACACAGGCCGTTCAGAGCCCCAGAGCCCGGGGCCTGCTGCGGGCCCAGAGGGGCGCGGCTGGGTTAGGGAGGGGGCCGCACGGGCCGCAGGGGGGCCGTTCCGGTGGCAGCGCTCAACCCTGACCGAGCGAGTGGGAGACCGGAAGACAGGAGGAGGGGCGAACGCAGGAGTCCCGCGCCAGGGACGCCCAGGTCCCCGAGGGGGCTGAGGAGGGCAAGGGGGATGCGGGGCCGGAGGGAGGTGGGCCGTGCCCTGGGGGCCCAGATCCAAACTCTCTGAAGCTGTGTTCTCCTCTGTGAAATGGAGGGGATCTTCCTGCCTCACGTACTCGCACGTGGCTCATGACTGTTTCCGGAGTCACAAACCCCCAGGTCTTCCCATCCAAGGCCTGTGCCAGAGGGTGGATGTGCGGAGCTCCCAGACCCGGGGTCACGTGAGGGCGGTCTTCCTGCTCGGAGAGCGTCGCCCGCCGCCACCAAAATTCACCTCAGCGGGGATGCCAGTCATTTTCTGTCCAAGCTCCACGAAATGCCATGGCAGTGATCCCTGGCCAGGTAACATGGCGACGGAGGCACTCCGGTGTGGCTTCAGGACAGCAGACACCCCAGTGACTGGGTCTCCTGCTCTCAGCAGAGGGGCGTCCTAGGAAAGGGGCTGCAGAGACACAGCCGTCTCGCTCCCAAGGAGCCACCGCGTCCACATGTTCCCCCATCTCACTCTCCCCCCGTGATGAACCTCCTGCTTGCCCCACAGGGCTAAGTGTCCCCACCACGGCCGGCTCTGGCGCGGGGACGGTGATGCGCACTGCATTTTCGGAGGGCGGTGTGGAAAGGGCCCTGGGCGAGAAGTCAGGCCCGCCACTGGGAACAAAGCACCGCACAGAGGACCGGAGCCCCTGTGAAGCCTCTCTGGAAATTCGGAGACGACCACGCCAGAAGATCCGCAAGTAGAGAGACCAGAAGGGGTTTCCACGGCAGACAGTTGGGATGGGGGGGCAGGGAGGGCGCAGCACCCAGGCCACGATTTTCCCAACATGCCCTGACACGGGCTCGTTTGATCGGGCGTTAAGTCATGATTGATGCTTTATAAAAAAGGCTCTGGGATCAAGTGCATTTTGCAAACACTGCACGGAACCAAAGCCTCCCCTGTAGGACCTCAGAGAGCCTTTGCTGAATGAACAGGCACTAAAGAGCAGCCTTTCCTGAAGCACTTAAAGGATTACTTAAGAGCTTGAAGAATCGGGGACATGTTGGTTTGGAAGAAGTTCTGCCCAGTGATCGGGGAGAAGGAAAAAAACCAGCCATCCGCTGAGAAGGCTGGAGTCGGCGTGGGAGCAGCGCACAGGGCCAGCCCAGAAACAAGGCAAGTGATGGAGAAAACAAGTCTTCACACGTCCAGGTTTGCGTTACCCGCACTGTCAATGGTACGGCTTCTGCCTCCCCTTCTATGAGACACCTTGTGGAGGTACTAGTGACCATCCCAAAACAGTAATTCATAGTGGCACGCGCTCCAGCCATCAAAGATCCACGGAGCTGTCACAGGGCCACGACGTTTCCATTTCACTTTCTCCCGTTCTTCCCCCACCACGTACGTGTCAGCTCGTGCTTGTGCTGCACGCAGCGCACGGTGTCCTGCGAGTCCACGCTGTACTCCCGCAGGCCAGGCACACTTCCTGCCTGACCCGCGGAGACCGGGAGGATTCAGGACAGCTGTCACCGAGAGGAAAAGGAAAAGCGACAACCCACAGCCGAACATGCTGGCCTCCCTTGCCCCTGGAAGGCTGAAAAACAGAATAGGCTGGGCCCCAGAAAACTCCAGAAGCCATAAGTGGAGTTTGTATTTCAAACTTAGGGCCTCATTTAAAAACAACTAACCTTCGAGATGATTGCTTTGGCCTCTTCTATAGTGTTCTTTAACACTTGCTTCATTTTTTCATTTGGAGCTGTGGAAACAGAACAGGGAAGAGGGGGAGAGAGAGAGCCATCTGTAAGTCTTTTTGGGGAGGAGAGAGGAAAAAACAAACTCCCCAAATCCTTAAATGTCCCAATCCCTCCTGGCTGAGGAGCAAGGGTCCGGCGGCAAGACCTTCATGGGATTCCGGTGAGGGACACGGGGAAGCCGGCTGCGAGCAGCTGGCAAGGCTCTCAAAGCTTTACTTTCTTTTTTTAAGTTTAATTATTTTGGGGGGAGAGTGAGAGAGACAGAGAGAATGCAAGCAGGGGAGGGGCAGAGAGAGAGGGAGAGAGAGAATCTGAAGTGGGCTCTGTGCTGTTAGCAGAGGGGCTAATGCGAGGCTTGAACTCATAACCTGTAAGATCATGACCTGAGCCGAAGTCGGAAGCTTAACTGACTGAGCCAACCCAGGCGCCCCACAAGGCTTCACTTCTTATTAAGTAAAAGTATGAATCAGACACTGAAAACGCTAGAAACATAAAGCTGTGTTAGAATACAAATGGTTCATTTAAGAGAATATTGGTTTAAAGATGAATCATGCGCCATTAACTGGTTCTTATGAGATACTGTTATTTTTTTCATCGATGCAATTCCTTCTAAAAAGCAAAAATATCTTGGGGTGCCTGGGTGGCTCAGTCACTTAAACATCTGACTCTCCATTTTGGTTCAGGTCACGATCCCATGGTCGTCATGGGATCGAGCCGCAAATCAGGCTCTGTGCTGGCAGCATGGATCCTGCTTGGGATTCTCTCCCTCCCTTTCTGTTCCTCCCCTGCTTGTGCTCACGCGCGCTCTCTCTCTCTCTCTCAAATAATAAACATGGAAAAAAAGAAAAAGCCAAAAAGTCTCTCCAAATTTACAATGAGTTTATGTATGAAAAGCTCTGGAAGACAGCCAACCATTTCTCAAGCTAAAACCCAACCGAATTAATATGAACAATTCCTATGAGCTTCAATATTTTTTTTTTTTTTTACAAAAATATTTTTTGAGCCTTGTAGGGACACTTTTGTATTTCTTTTGCTCCTGATAGTGTTTTAGCGTCGTAGGTACTTAGGTGCTTAGGTGTTTGATCAACTACAGTCTTTTAAATGGAGACTTTTACGCAGGTTGAAGGGGATGAGCGGTCAAAATGGGCTACCGTCTTGTTTCCTTGAAATTCCACACGACCAACCAGACACTAATGGGGGACTAATTTCGGAATGCTGACACGTACTATGATGTTTTACACCACAGAGGTCTGTGCCCTCGATTCAAGTGGAGACCCTGGGCCGACATCCACTTCCTTCCTTCACACGGAACCTCTAAGTGAACCCTAGTGCCTGCAAAGCCTAACAGAACCTTCTACACATTTCAGCGACTGTCCCCCGAAACGATTAGGTTGAACCGTATTCACTTTTCACCATGTGTTACCTCCAAAAATGGCAGCTTCGGGTACTTCATCTGATACCCTGAAGAGCTGGCAGCATTCTAGTCAGAAGGAACGGGCCAAATGCTTCCTTTACCTACCCGATTCCTCCTGGATTCACACTGTGCCACAAGGAGTCAGTCACACAGCGCGGTATTTCATGCGTTTGTATAGAAAACTGAGGTCTCTGTTTAACGCTAAGTTGCCGCTCGTGGGCTTGCTGCTAACCTGGGGCGCGCACACAGAGGACACAGGCTGGATTACCTTGCCCATTCCTTCGACCGATGTCATCCTTTTTAAATACTGGGCCCCCGCTGGGTACACACTTTTCACCCCATTCGTCCCTTAACTTCAATTCTTCAATCTGGTCGTCGGTCAGGCCTTGCATATTAGGAGGGAGAAACACGCCATGTTCTGCCAATTCTTCCATTTCTTAAAAGAGAAAGTTAGACAACATGTATCAGGATCATCACCTCAGTGAGATGTAGGCTCCCTAGGGGTTGGGGGTCTTGCCCATTGGCTCCCTATTTTATTTAACAAATACTTAAGACACCACTTGGTTTGGGCCAGGCCTGTCCCTGACCTTTGACACATGGTCGCCCATTTGTCCCGGGCCAACGGTGACATAGAGTTTAGGAGCTCACCGTGGTCACAGGCAGCAGGACTGCGGGCTCTGGGCACGAATCTTCTGCCGTGTTGTACCTTCTGGGACTCAGGAGGCACAAGTTAAAATTCACTGACAGTCAGGATACATACCCACGAACAGTGTTACAACATCCAAGTGTGTCTGCATAGATTATTTCGCTTCCCCTTGTGAGGCAAGCAGGAGAGTCATCGGCACCCTCGTCTTCCCTAATGCACAGCTCTGTCACCTGACGCTTGCTACTTCACACCACACTTTATAAATAAATTTTCACTTTATAAATAATTTGTGTAAATCTGGTCAGTGGAGAGGATTCCAGGCAGTTGACAGCCTTCCAAAGCCACAGAGATGGGAGAAGACCTTGGTGTTCTGGTATCACGTTCACTATGCAAAAGCGTGGCTTTGTCTTTTTCCTATAGCATATATATTCACCCCAAACCTAACCCACACTTCAACCTTGCAAAACTGCTTGCCCTTCCTTCCTTCCCAAGTTCCCGAAGCACTGTGGGAAGATGGCAAGTGGCTTGTCATAATACAATACTACAAAACAAATGGTGTCACTTAATGGGGTCCTTATTGTCTCGCTCCCTACCAGAATCTGGGCATCTAGGGGCCCAGGGCTGCTCCCCTTCATCCTGGCCTGCGGCAGGCAGAGCGTGGGGACCTGCCTGGACCCCAGTGGACAATGGGGGCTGCAGAACAAAGGGAGGAGTCGCTAATGTGACTCTTCACATTGAGCACATTTTCAATTGGTAATTTTATAGAAAAAGAAGTTGGAGTCACTTTTCTCCCCAAATGCTTAAATAAAAAAAAGAAAACATTTAATACTGAGCTGGTTTTGCAATCAGCAAATTTTACTAAGAAACTACATGTATGCCCCATAAAGATAGAAGCCATAACCCTTAAGGAGTTCTCCACGGCACAAAAATCACGTATTATGGAAACACTAGACCACATCTGGAGACATCTGGAGAATCACCATGTCTAGGGCCGTGCTGACGAATGCGATCGCCACCAGCCCCACCAGGCTCTTTAAATTTAAATTAAAGTGAAATACAATAATAAAAAAAAAAAAAGCAGTTTGCTCCTTGCCATGGGTGCCTTCAGGGCCGCACAAATAGGGAGCAACTCACTCGCGGCAGAAGGTCGCCAGGCAGCCCTGCTCTAGAGCATTCGAGAGAAGCGACCAAACGCTGTAATATGAGACAGGGGCTTGAGTTTCCTGGAGAAGGGCAGGGGACGCCAGGGCTCTCGGCTGCCCTTCCCACCATCGGGAGGTGGGGGGAGGGGGGTGTCCCAAAGCCAGGTGCTTCCCCACCCGGAGGCGCTCCACTCCACAAGTCTCGACAGTGAGTTCATTTCACTACACCTGTTCTGGGGCCCGGTCTTCCGCTCCCCGGGGTTACCCTGTCTCCTGGGCCACTTCACACCCGGCCCCGCGGCGCGCCCTTGGCCCCGCCCCCACGCTCTCCGCGGGACCCCGGCTGTCCCCTTTCGGGCCGCCAGCCGTGTGTCTTTGCAAATCTTGGCAACCCTGACCCTCTCCGCCCAGCCAGCCCGAGTCTCGCGGTTCCCCCCACCCCCCACTTCCCGCCCCGCTTCTTCCCCGCGTCCCGGGCCCGCCCCGGCTCGGGCTCCACGGTCACGGCCGCACCTGAGCAGACGCGCTGCACCTTCAGCCGCGCGTTGTAGACCCGGGCCACCTGCACCGTGAGCTCCTCCAGCTCCGTGCTCCCCGGCGCCTGCAGCAGGAACTGGCTCTCGTCGCCCCGCTTCACGTGCAGCAGGACCATGGTGGCCCCGCAGACGCCGCCAAGGCGGCGAGGAGGAGGCCTGGCTGCGCGGCCCGCCGGGACCCGAGCGCGAGTAGCGACCGCCGACCAACCGCCGCGCCGAGTGCGGAACTCGGGGTCTAGCGGCCCCGGTCCAGGGGGAGGGGGAAAGGCCCTCACTCCCGGAAGTGCCTGTTGCCAGGAGCGACACAGAAACACTGGCGCCGCCAGCTCGGGTCGGAAGCCGAGGGTGGAGAGGCCGCAGTGCGCGGAGGCCCGGCAGGCGCTCCCGGAAGCAGGTGCTGCTCGGCAACGATGCCCCACAGTCCGAGACGGCCGCACCCCGCCCGGAAGTGTCTGTTGTCGGGGCAACCGCCCAACGGAGCCCAAGCTCTCCGAGGGGAGCGCGGAACGCCGCGTCCACTCTCCTGGGCCCGAGGCTCCACAGAAGCAGATGTGTGGGGCGGGGGAGGCTGCTAGGTCGGAGATGGGTGGGGTGGTGGGCACCCTCCGAAGCCGAGCCCCGGAGCGGGGTCCGCACTGCCGCCGAAAGTCCCAGCGGCGTTTCTGCCGCCCGCACTCCCCACTGCCGGAAGTGCTTCCTGCTGTTTCCGGCCTGGAGCTGTTCCGGGAGTTCGCGCGGGTTGCCGGGTGTGAGCACCTAGGGACCGGGAAAAGTGTCCGTCTTCCTCTGAGGGCTGATTCGGATTCGCATATCTAGGGTGGCTGTAGCGGCCGCGGCCGGAGCGACTGCGCCCAAGCTATCCAGCCGGCCGCCGCCCAACGAACTTTTTTTTTTTAAATATTTTTTTTTTGTTTATTTCTAGGAGAGAGAGAGCAGGGGAGGGTCAGAGAGAGAGGGAGATACAGACTCCGAAATAGGCTCCAGGCTCTGAGCTGGCAGTCAGCACAGAGCCCGACGCGGGGCTCGAACCCACGAACCGCGAGATCATGACCTAAGCGAAAGTCGGACTCTTAACCGACTAAGCCACCCGAACTCTTAATGAACAGGCGCGCTGTTTCTTCCAGGCGTCGGTGACACCGCGGCTTTAAAGGCCAGGGTCACTGCTGTCATGCTGTCATGGAGTTTATATTCCAGTGTAAGTGAGGAAGAGAAAACAAAATAAACGGAAGAGGCAAACTCAGATAGAAGCATAAAGAAAACCAAACTGGGCGATTGGCTTTTTAGGTTGGATGGCCAAGGAGTGCTTTCCGGGGAGGGTGACATTTGCACTTAGCCCTTGATAACGAGGTGTCACCAAAGCTCCAACAGTGCAAGGCTTCAACCCTCGTCTCCTTGGAAGCCATTGCCAAACACGATCTGAATGTTGCAAGCACCTGCTCCTTTGTACTCCTGAAACTTCGGCTCTCCCCTTTGGAACTTCATCCTGGGCAGAGGGGATGGTGTGTGCCTGGAAATGCCCAAAGCCAATCCAGGGCCTCGTATGAAGACTGTTAGACTGATTCTGGACAGACAGGGTATGGAGCCCAGCGAGCAGATGTGTTTCCATTTCTAGGATTGGGGCAGGGAGCACCCAGACCCTGGAACATACAGTACTGGTCAGAATGCTAAATGTCTCCCTCCCCGCAGGGAGAAGGGGACCTACTGTGTTCTCTGAGCTCCTGAGTGCTGGCCATAAGGTCATCCCTCCGTTTCTCCTCAGTCTGATTCTGTATTCATAAGCCAACCAAGCTTAAAACTTGGTTGAAAGTGTATTGCTTTCTAGGTGGTGAGAACCATTTATGCACAGACTCCTGTATTAGAGTCTCTGGCTGTAACTTTTAATAAAGTGTGGAAAACTCATGTACTGGCCATCCCGTTGTGTTTAAATATGTACTTTACTAATCATTTGGTAGGAATCATTCGGTAGAAAATATGTACTTTGTTCTTCACTTGGCAGGAACAAAACTCCACAGATCAAGCGCTTGCAGGATCTTGAATCTTTGCCAGCCTGATATTTGCCTTTGTAAGTCCTGCTAACTTTATTCTGTTATTAACGCTCCTTTCAGTGTCCTCTTTCAGTCTTTTTTTTTTTTTCATCCAGGCCACGTCTTACAAATTTGCGTGTAGCTTTTTCTCTGTGGTTTCCGTAATCCTCAATCATGCTATAAATTCTTGTCTTGCTGGCCTCAAGTGGGTTCTGAATTTGAAAACAAAAGGTGGTATCTGTGTGCTCTTGACGAGTTTGGCTACTTTTCTCTGAATATTTTAGGTACTGCTGACTTTCTAGGCTGAAGGGCATCTTGTGACCATTTGTCTCTAATGAAGCTGAAGGGCATCTTGTGACCATTTGTCTCTAATGAAGCGTTAGTGATGAATGCTGTGATCTAGATAATTAACAGGTCATTCATGATGGCTGCCGGATACCAGGCAGTGAGGGAGGAAAAGAACGAATTTTTAGTCTACTGAAAAAAACCTTTTTTTAAAGGCCCCAACATTAGAGATACATTTAAAGTTCCCACATACCCCTCTCTGATTCCATTTTCCTCTTCCCCTTCTCCAAACGTTAACTACTATCCTGAATTTATCATCCCTGTTGGCTGTTTTTATACCATCGACACATGTATGTGTCCCTAAAGAATATATTGTTTTGTATGTTTTAACTTTTCTATAAATGACGTCATACTGTATTGTTTTGTAACTCACCGTATGGCTCCGGGATGAGATTTACTAATATGTCGTTCACTTGTTTTCACTGCTGTACAGTATCCTACTGTATGAATCTGTCATTCCACTCCCCTGACGATGATTAGTGTATTTCTAATTTTTACCATCACGGACAATGCGTGTCCTGTTCCACATGCACTGAATTTCTCTACAAGTCAAATTTCTCGTGATAGAACATGTGGATTTTACTGGACGTTGATAAATTCCTCTCCAGAATTGATAGTCTCTCAACAACAGCATGTGAGCCCCCAATTCTTCCAAATGGTCACTAAATCTTGATGTGCTCACTTATTTTCCTAAAATTAATAAACTGGGATTTTAAAATTTTATGTATCTATGTGTGTGTGTGTGTGTGTGTGTGTGTGTGAGTTTGGTTATCCTGTCAATCACCAGGACTGTAGTTAGGTAGTTTGTGGACTTGCAGAGGTCAGGATCTGGCTATGCATGAAGAGGCTAAAAAGATAAGTTACACACTCGGAGAAATATTTGCAAACCATGTATCCAATAAAGGGCGAGTATACAGAATAGACAAAGAACCTTCAAAACAGAACAGTAGGGGCACCTGGATACCTTAGTCGGTTAAGTGTCTGACTCTTGATTTTGGCTCAGGTCATGATCTCACAGTTGGTGAGATGGAGCCCTGTATCAGGCTCTGCGCTAACAGCAGAGCCTGCTTGGGATTCTCTCTCTCCCTCTGTCTGCCCTTCCTCTGCATACGCTCTCTCTCTCTCAAATAACTAAACATTAAAATAATAATAATAATAACAGTAAAAAAACAATCCATTTAGAAAATAGGCAAAAGACAGATATTTTACTAAAAAAGATATTAGATGGCAAATAAACACGTGAAGAGATGTTCACCATGACTAGCTATTAAGGAAACAAAGCCACAATGATATATCCTTTACAAAAATGGCTAAAATAAAAAGTAGTGACAACAGTAAGTGCAAGGAAGGGTGCAGAGAAGTTGATCACTCATCCATCACTGATGGGAATGTGAAATGGTCCATTCTGGAAGACAGTTTAGCAGTTGTTTAAAAGATCCAAGCATCAACTACCCTGTGGTCCAGCAACTGCACTCCTGGGCATTATCCCCAAGAAATGAAAACTTATGTTCACACGAAAACCTATACGGGAATGTTCACAGCAACTTTATTTATAATAGCCCCAAACTGGGAGCAACCCAGATGTCCTTCAATGGGTGGGTGACTGGCTAAACCAGCTGTGGTACATCCGTACCTTGAAATACCACTCGACGATACAAAGACATCTGCAATCTAGATGACTCTCCAGATAATTATGCAGAGTAAAAAGTCAATCCCAAAAGGTCACATACCATATGATTTCATATATATATGTACGTTAATGTCCTAGTTAATGTCCTGGTTGTAGCAGTATACTATAGTTTTGTAAAATGTTACCACTGGGGGAAGGGGGGCTGGGTAAAGGGTACTTGGGGTCTTTATTATTTCTTACAACTGTATATGCATCTCAATCATTAAATCAAAAGCTTCTTTATTATTGTGTGTCAATGAATTCTATATATTTTCTGTATATTTTCTATATATTTTTCTAAAATTATATCGAACATAATTCAGCGATTTAAGAATCAAAGTTACTGTTCTGAATAGCAATCCGACAGGAGTGAAAAAAGGCAATACTCAGAGGCACTACGAGGCTTGGCCTTGTACTTGGGCCTTTTTAGCCAGTCTCTGGTGTATGGCTGTCCTTGTGACTCTTTCCCTTCTACCCCAACTTGTTTCTTTTGCTGTGGGTTAGAAAATCATCATTCATGCTTCATGCATTATTTTCTAGCCAGCAAGACTCTGAATGAGGGCCTCTCTTCTTAATGAGGATTTGTAATCTTAGAATATCCTCTTACTTTTAGATTATTATATGGAGAAGTAAAACGGATGAAATAAGGTCTTGATTTAAAATACCTGATCTGAAGGGCACCTCAATTGGTTAAGCATCCAGCTCTTGACTTTGGCTCATGTCACGATCTTACGGTTCCTGGGTTTGAGCCCTGTGTTGAGCTCTGTGGTAACAGTGCGGAACGGGCTTGGGAATCTCTCTCTCCCTCTCTCTGACCCTTCCCCTGCTCGTGTTCTCTGCCCCGGTCTCTCGCTCTTCTCAAAATAAATAAACTTAAAAAAATACAAAAATACCCGATTTGACAGTTGGTCCCCAAAGGTCATTACCCTTGCATATGTAACGTTCAAGGAAAATGGCTGAGAAAAATTCTTCCCTCTTGAGCAAAGTAGTCGACATGGTAAAGACGGGTATATTTATTTCATATGACAGCACATTTCACAGATATGTACCGAATGTCTGTATACCACTGACTGTAATACTGTACTTCTATAACGTATATAATTATAAATATTGTATGCCACATAAGCAATAAAATTCTTACATATAAACAGCAATCTACTATAGAGAACAAGGAATTCACAAAGAGATCCTTAGTGTCTAATTTCTGCTCTGCTTTTAACAGAACTGGTAAATATTTTAATAACACAGAATAATGGCTAGTTATTGGCAGCATACCTTTAGCTTTCCTAACTCTGTGCCCTTTCAGCAACTTGCCAAATATATCTTTCCTGATAAAGGCTGAGCTGCTGCATGATACGTATATTTTAGACAGTAGTTTATATTCAATAGGAAACATTGCTCACAGAACTGCAATCTGCACTAGTGAAGTTTATAATGAATTCTTTTTGCTAATGGAGAGCAAATACCATACACACTAACACCTAGATGTTAAAGCCACAGTTTCAACAAGTTAATTCACATTCTGAAGCACACTGCTTATAGGAATACTGCTGTTTAAAATATACTACTGCTGAAATGATTAGAACCCCCAAAAAGCACAATATAAAACTCACAAGAGTTAGTTCTGACAGCAAATCCTGGCTGTTAACA